AGAAACTTGGCAAAACTCTAGAGAAGGCTTTCCAGACCCTAACCCTAAGATTAGATATAGATTGAATGAAACACTACAACTTGCAGGTATACTCACGCACACAGGCATGGACCTTGAATGTCTATTTAAAAAACTTGTAGCTTTTTTTTTTTTTTGAGACAGAGTCTCACTCTGTCACCCAGGCTGGAGTGCAGTAACGTGATCTCAGCTCACTGCAATCTCCACCTCCCGGGTTCAAGCAATTCTCCTGACTCAGCCTTCCCAGTAGTTGGGATTACAGGTGCCCACCACCATGCCTGCTAATTTTTGTATTTTTCATAGAGATGGAGTTTCACCATGCTGGTCAGGCTGGTCTCGAACTCCTGACATCAGGTGATCTGCCCACCTCAGCCTCCCAAAGTGCTGGAATTACAGGTGTGAGCCACTGCACCTGGCCAATAAACTCCCTTCTTTCCCAGTCTGCATCTCATTATTGGACCATGAGAACAAGCTGCCTGACCTCATTCTGTCCTGGAACACCCTGACTTTTCAGCAGCCCAAGACAAGCCCTCCTTTAAGCCATGGGCCATCTCTGGCACCTCTCTTGTAGATAGGGGCATTGCCAACTATAGGCGTATAAGCTGGCTTACAGCAGAGAAATGGTTTCTGATTCTGGAAGATGTCTCTGATAATTACATAATCCATTCTCCCTTTCCCTTCTCCTGATCTGTTTAGCCTCCTCAGAGGCCCTGTAAAGTCTTCAAAGGTCTTATTAACCCTCCCTAACCTATATAAAGGGCCCTGTTTAAGGCAATTTTCTCATGGAAAGAGAATAAAGGGCATTGTTTAGGGGAAATACTCCTGGACCCTTTAGTTCTCAATTCAGAAATCCGGTTTTGGTTGGGTGTGATGGCTTACACCTGTAATCCCAACACTTTGAGAAGCCAAGGTGGGTGGATCACCTAAGGTCAGGAGTTTGAGACCAGCCCGGGCAACATGATGAAATGCTGTCTCCACAAAAAATATAAAAATCAGCCAGGCAGCCAAGCACAGTAACACACTTGTAATCCCAACACTTTGGGAGGCCAAGGCTGGCGGATCACCTGAGGTCAGAAGTTGGAGACCAGGCTGACCAATGTGAAACTCCATCTGTACTAAAATTCAAAAAAATTACCTGGGCATGGTAATGGGCACCTGTAGTCCTAGGTACTCAGGAGGCTGAGATCATACCACTGCACTCCAGCCTGGGTGACAGAGTGAGATTCCATTTCAAAAAAAAAAAAAAAAAAAATTGGCCAGGAGTGGTGGCAAGCACCTGTACTCCCAGCTACTCTAGAGGCTGAGGCACAAGAATTGCTTGAACCAGGGAGGTGGAGGTTACAGTGAATCCAGATCATGCTATTGCACTCCAGCCTGGGCGACTGAGCAATACTCTGTCTCAAAAAAAGAAAAAAAAGACATCTGGTTTTATTTACTTTTTTATTTAAATTTTTTAGAGGTGGGAGCTTGCTATGTTGCCCAGGCTGACTGATCTTCAGCTCCTGGCCTCAAACACTCCTCCTGTCTCAGGCTCCCAAAGTTCTGGGATTATAGGTGTGAGCCACCATGCTGGCCAAATATGGTTTTATTTTGTTTTATTTATTTATTTAAATAGAGATGAGGTATCACTATGTTGTCCAGGCTGATTTTGAATTCCCGGGCTCAAGTGATCCTCCCACCTCAGCCTCCCAAAGTGCTGTAATTACAGGCATGTGCCACAACGCTGGGCCTAAATCTGGTTTTAGAATTCTGATTTGTGAAGGCTTGTGCCTGTTCTTGTCTCGTCTGTGTGTGGGTGGGGGGTGGGGAGGTGGAATCCTGAAGGAATCACTAGCAGAAGCTCAGCAGCCTCACTCAGAGGAAACCCTCTTGTCTGTTTTGCCAGGTTAAAACTCAGATGCTGAGGGAAGTAACGGGTGTTTGGGTCTTTGTTACGTGTATATTACAATTTTGTCTGGGCAATATTGGAAATATTCATTCTTTCTTTTTGAGACAGAGTCTTGCTGTCACCCAGGCTAGAGTGCAGTGGCACCATCCGGCTCACTGCAGCCTCTACCTCCTGGGTTCAAGCAACTGAAACAGCCTTTGCAAAATTATGACTGAGACAATGAAAGAGATCTAAGTTAACCAACTCCAACTTGCTTCTAACTTCCAAGCTGTCCTGATTCATTCCTGGGCATAGGTTGAACTAACTTTGGGAGAAACTTAGTTTGTAGTTTATAATTTAAACAAAGATGGTAACAGTCTTTTCCCAAAGCAGACCTCCTTCTTGCCTGGGGACTAGATTGCCTTTGTAGGACTAACATTAGCCACAAGATTAGAAATTATGGTTTAGGACTCATACAGCTGGAAGCTACAAGATTCTGACCCTTCCTAAACTGCTCTTAAGATCAGTGCTTGATATGTTTTGCAGACCTTGCCCTTGATGAATCAGCTGGCACCATCCAGATTAATAAACTGGCTCATCTGATCTTATGGCCTCCACCCAAAAACTGACTCAGCACAAGAAGACAGCTTTGACTCCCTGTGATTTCTTCCCTGACCAATCAGTACTCCTGGCTCACTGGCTTCCCCCCACCTACCAAGTTATCCTTAAAAACTCTGCTCCCTGTATGCTCTGTGATTTGAATAACAATAAAACGTAGGTCTCCTGCACAGCCGGCTCTGTGTGAATTAATTTCTCTATTGCAATTCCACTGTCTTGATGAATTGGCTCTGTCTAGGCAGCAGACAAGGTGAACCCCCTGGGCGGTTACACCATTCTCATGCCTTGGCTGGCCTCCTGAGAAGCTGGGATTACAGATGTGCACTACCACACCCAGCTTTTTTTTTTTTTTTTTTTTTCCAACAGAGTCTCACTTTGTCCCAGGCTGGAGTGCAACAGTGTGGTCTCGGCTCAATGCAACCTCCGCCTCCTGGGTTGAAGTGATTCTCCTGTCTCAGCCTCCTGAGTAGTTGGGATTACAGATGTGTGCCACACACCTGGATAATTTTTTGTATTTTTAGTACAGATGGGGTTTCATCATGTTAGGCTGGTCTGAACTCCTGACTTCAAGTGATCCACCTGCCTCAGCCTCCAAAAGTGCTGGGATTACAGGCTTGAGCCACCACCTCCCACCAGGAAATGAGAATTCAGTCCTCCCATGGCAGCCCATTGCGTTGTCTTGCAAAACTGGGTGGCTTTCACCTTCAAACCCAAGAAAAGAAAGAAATGATTTTCGTTTGTAATCAGTCAGCTGAGTGATGCAAGCTCCATTCTTCTGGATGCCACAGTTGAGGGAATCCATGAACCTGACAAACTGGGAAAAGGGTAAGAATTCCTTACTGGCCAGGGTCCTGGGCTCATTTGCTCTCTGTGGATGAACAGGCAGTAAAAGTCACTGTCACTGCCTCCTCTACAAGCCTTTTTTTTTTTTTTTTTGTGAGATGGAGTCTTCCTCCATCACCCAGACTGAAGTACAGTAGCGAAATACCGGCTTATTGCAACCTCGGCCTCCAAGCTTCAAGCAACTTTTGTGCCTCAGCTTCTCGTGTACATGAGACTACAGGTGCTTGTCACCCCTCGTGGATCATTTTTTGTATTTTTAGTAAAGAAGGTTTTGCTTTGTTGCCCAGACTGATCTTGAACTCCTGACCTCTGGCAATCCTTCTGCCTGGACCTCCCAAAGAGCTTGGATTACAAGTGTAAGCCACTACGCTGGTGCTCTGGAAGGATCTGAGTAATGGGAAAAGTTTTTTTTGTTTGTTTGTTTTTTTAGGCAAAGTATCTTTCTGTCACCCAGGCTGGACTGCAGTGGTGCGATCTCGGCTGACTTCAACCTCCACCTCCAGGGTTCAAGCGATCCTCCTGCCTCAGCCTCCCAAGTAGCTGGGACTACAGGCAACCGCCACCACGTCCTCTTAGCCAGGATGGTCTCCATCTCCTGACCTAATGATCCACCTGCCTCAGCCTCCCAAAGTGCTGGGATTACAGGCATCAGTCACTGCACCCAGCAGGAGAAGAAAATTTGTATCACTCATCGTGGGGTACACCTGAGGTCAGGAGTTCCAGACCAGCCTGGACAACATGGTGAAACCCTCTCTCTACTAAACATACCTAAATTGGCAGGTGTGGTGGCTTTTTTTTTTTTTTTTTTTTTTTTTTTTGACAAGGGTTCTTGCCATGTGGCCCAGGCTAGTCTGGAATTTGTGGCTCACGTGATCCTCCTGCCTCCCAAAGTATTGGGATTACAGGCGTGAACCACCACACCTACCTTTGTTTAATAAAGGATTTGGGGATGCATTTTCATCATCTATATAACACCCACTCTCCGAGTATTTCTAGTGTTCTTTACTTTGAGACAGAGTTTCGCTCTTGTTGCCCAGGCTGGAGTGGATCTCCGCTCACTGCAACCTCCACTCACTGTGACCTCCACCCCCTGGGTTCAAGCCCCACTCTCAGCCTCCCACGTAGCTGGGATTACATGCATGTGCCACCATGCCCGGGTAATTTTGTATTTTTAGTAGAGACTGGGTTTCGCCATGTTGCCCAGGCTGGTCTCAAACTTCTAACCTCAGGTGATCCGACCGCCTGGGCCTCCCAAATGCTGAGATTACAGGCTTGAGCCATCGCGCCCGGCCACCTCAGCAATTCATCCCACCAGAAAAAAAAAGCTAAGGTGGCAAACTGTAGTAAATTTATCTGCACTAGAACACTGAACTAAACAAGGAGATCAGGGATTTTTTTTCTTCATTGAGATAAGGTTTCTACCCACACGAAATCGGCTCATTAAACCCTGGATATGGACTCAAATGATTCTCTCCTCTCAGCCTCCCTGCTAGCTAGCACTAACAAGTGCGTACCACCGAAGACCCGGGTTTATCAAACGGGACTAAATGCTTACCAAACACCTAATTAAACCTACAGCAAACACAATTGAAAAGTCGTTAAGCCAATTACAAATACAAACACACAGCATCTCAGATACTGCTCTTTAATCAACGAGGAGAAAGCGAGAGAACGCAATCCCCACTACCACAAATTATGGAACAGTTTCCTACATTTGAAAAAAATCACAGAGATCAGCACATCCACAGTACAATACACACACCTCATTGGGAAAAACCACCTTCGTGATAGCGTTTTGCCAACCATACGAAAACAAATGTTTACTGACTGCTACTACCTCAACATCCTCAACACACATCTTGGTCATGGCAAATTGTGTCATGAATTAGGCGTTCTGTTCGAAACTACCGCTTCTTTGTATGACATATCTGAGGTACAACTTACCTGATAATCGCTAGAAAAATTCTTCTGTGAGAAGAACGCACTAGAACCGGCAATCACTGCGCCCCTAATCTACATATCCCCGCCTCTTATAGTGACGCCACATATGCTTCTGGCCGCCCTTACCGTTTTCTCTTCGGGATTCGTTCGCTCTAGCTACTGCTCCGATTTTTTAAAAATCGCCTTGTGTGATAAGAATTTTCTTTTCTTTTTTCTGCACGGGCTTTATTATTATTATTATTATTATTATTTTCAGAGAATTCATACAGCCATTAATTATACAGAGCTATTTCTCAGTGCTTTATTTTATTTTATTTTATTTTTTTGAGACGGAGTTTCACTTTTGCTGCCCAGGCTGGAGTGGAATGGCGTGATCTCGGCTCACTGCAACCTTCGCCTCCCGGGCAGTTCTCCTGCTTCAGCCTCCAGAGTAGCTGGGATTATAGGCACCTGCCACCACGCCCGGTAGTTTTGTATTTTTAGTACAAAATACAAAACCCCATTAGATGGGGTTTCACCACCTTGGCCAGCTGTTCTCGAACTCCTGACCTCGGGTGATCCGCCAGCCTCGGCCTCCCAAAGCGCTGGAGTTACAGGCATGAGCCCCGCGCCCGGCCCTCAGTGCCTTTTTCTTTCCACTTAAGAAATTGGGCCGGGCGCGGTGGCCCGTGCCTGTATTGCCAGCTACTTGGGAGGCTGAGGTGTGAGGATCGCGTGAGCCCGAGTTCTGGGCTGTAGTGCGCTATGCCGATCGGATGTCCGCACTAAGTTCGGCATCAATATGGTGACCTCCCGGGAACGGGGGACCACCAGGTTGCCTAAGGAGGAGTGAACCGGCCCAGGTCGGAAACAGAGCTGGTCAAAACAAAAACTCCCGTGCTGATCAGTAGTGGGATTGTGCCTGTGAATAGTCACTGCACTCCAGCCTGAGCAACATAGCGAGACTCCGTCTCTTTTTAAAATAAAAAAAAAAAAAGAAAAAAAAGAAATTGGAACACACCAGGATAAGGATGATGATGCCAAAACTAGATTGGCGGCTCACATCATCTAGGGTACAAATACACGCTTAATAATTTAATGCTTTATTGAACTCAAAGCAAGCATAAACATTAAGCATCTTTGCCTTCGCTGTACACAGCTGTAGGGGGAGCCCAAGGGGAGGGAAAGCTACATGGTTTTCCTTGCCGGGGGAAGTTGTGCACCCTGCAGTCCCGCCCTGTTGTGGGAAGATTAACCCATGTTCTGTCGGTTGCCATAGCCCCTAGGGTGGGTGTCCTTCCAATCATCCCACTCCCGAGCTCTCTGGAGTGTTTGTTCATCATCCTCTTTTTCCTTTTCTTGATCTTCCTGTTGCTGAGTGGCTTTTCCAAATTCTTCTGGTGTTGCCTTGGCTATTCCCTGATCTGGTAACGCTCCATGTTTCCGATGTTGATCATACCAGTCACTCACTGTCATAGAAGCCAGACTTGGATAACCAGTGCCAAATACTTTGGCTTGCACCATGTTCCGAGTGAGAATGAAAGGTTTCACTGGAGGCCTCTCCTGGCGAGATGAGTTAGAAGTGGATGCCTCTCTTGAAGAGTCTTTCTCTCTCAGGATCTCTATTTCCTGGTCAATGCTCTCAATCTCTTCTAAGCTGGTATCAATCCACCTCCGAAGGTGAAGAAGATAATATTCACGAACATGCTCATCATCTGCTTGACCACTTTCCACAGCAGATTTCATTGTAGACAACCTATGCTCCAACTCCTTCTTCTTCTTGTATCTCTCTATTTTAGCCCGTCTTTGAGATGCCATAGCAACGAGGCTAGGATAAGCCCTGGAAGTAATAGTAGTGTGATTTTCACCTGAGTTGTTCTTGGTTTTGGGCAGCTCAAATTCGGCCACATGATAGTAATGGCACTGAGTTAAGTAGTTTATAAAGTGTTCGCGAGCCTGCTGCAAATGATCTAGACGCTTACTGGGGTTGACTTGTTTCATGGTGAGGGCTCCTTGAAACGCTGGCACCATCAGGTACTTTAGGTCGGTGGAAGTAATCTCCTCCAAATCTTCATTTCGGCTGAACAAGTCAAGCTGCGATAACATTTTGGCAGCCTTCTCAAGGAGGTCGAGGCCCTTGGACACCTTCTCCTGGACTATACGGGAACCGGTGGGTTCAGTTGCTCCTTCGACTTCGTCCAGAAGCTGTTTGCCGGAATCGAATAGCTCGGGGAGCCGCAGTGGTGGCAGGAACTCGTCTTCAGCAGCTGCCATCTTGGGGAGGCTGACGCGAAATGATTCTTTCCCTTTGTGGGCACACGTAAAGATTCTGGCGTGGATTTCTAACAAGTCTGAATCGGGCGCTGCTGGGCAGGGCAGTCAGGGAGGCGGTGGCGTTTGGAGCGGCATAGGGGAAGGCAACTGGGTCGGTTGTGTCGGGTCTGAATTGCTGCTCCACTCTGGGTCTTCGTCAAACTCTGTCTCTCTGTTTCCGTTTCCTAAAATTGTAAAGTGGGAATAATTCTGCCTGCCTCGCTCACAAGCGAGGACTGAATCACAGAATGCGTGTAAAATTTCTGTGAGGACTGAATAACAGAATGCGTGTAAAATGCGGCTACCCCCCAACCAGTCTATTCTGCTCCTCGACTGTTGCCCCCTGTACTTTGGGACCCCAAACTGACTTAGCCAAGATTCAAGTATCTGCAGTTCCTGCTGCACAGGGAAGTAGCATCAGGCCTGGATTTCCTAACAAACCGAGTGCTCGTACATGTGTATATATGTGTATGTATGATGTACATATACAGATGTGTATGTATGTATATGACATACACATACATGTTGACTTTTTGACAGTCACAACTGCTTTATGAACTTATATAACAAAACACCATTTTTATTTATTTTTATTTCATTTATTTATATATATATTTATTTATTTATTTATTTAATTTGAGATGGCTTCTCACTCTGTCGCCAGGCTGGAGTGCACTGGCACTATCTTGGCTCATTGCAAAGAAATACTAACAGCTAACTATCTACTGAGTGTTTACTATGTATCTGGACTTTATGGTTAATCCTCACAACTCTGAGGTAGGAAATGGAATCATTCCCATTTCATGGATAAAGAACCTGAGGCATGACAAAGATTCTTTGCTGGACGGGCATGGTGGCTCACGCCTGTAATCCCAGCACTTAAGGAGGCTGAGGCAGGTGGTTCACTTGAGGTCAGGAATTTGAGATCAGCCTGGCCAACATGGAAACCCTGTCTCTACTAAAAATTTAAAAAATCAGCAGGGTGTGGTGACTGGTACCTCTAATCCCAGCTACTTGGGAGGCTGAGGCAGGAGAATTGCCTGAACCTGGGAGGTGAAGGCTGAAGTGAGTAGAGATCGCACCACTGCATTCCAGCCTGGGCAACAGAGTGAGACTCTGGCTCAAAAAAAAAAAAAAGATTCTTTGCTTGGCCAAACTTTAGTCAGGCTTCTGAAACTTCTCACAGGCCAGTCTGTGCATGTTCTTGTAAAATCCAATTTTAGTAAAGGAACTCTGCTAAGTCAATTTAGCTGAAACCCCCATTCTCCAAATCTCATCAGGTTCCTCATACTACACTACCCACCAAGTGATAGCTGATCACCCCAGCCTGTCTTCAACAAGAATCCCGTTAGATCAGTTTAGCCAGAATTCCTCTTACCCCTGATGTTTCCCCTTGGTAATTTTCTATCCACTGACCTTCACAGTGCTACTTGGGTATAAATTCCCATTTGCCGGTGCTGTACTTCAGACTTATGCCTAATCTTTCTCCTCCACTACAAGACCCGGTTGCAGTGGTCCCTATACCTAACCTGATGGTCCTAAACAAAGTCATCCTTACAGCAAAAAATTGCACCTCTCCCAGCTACCAAAGCCTCTGCTACTGATCTCCCTGGAGGAGCTCTAGTAACTAACTCCTGCAAATGTGGAAGAAGTAACTGGAGCCTGGGTCCAGTCATGACTGTCTACTGAATCATCTCAGCCAATGCCCACTGAAGGCTCATGGTGCGCCAGCACAGGGACAAGAACTTCACACACCTTACTCATTTAATCCACTCAACAATTCTACAGAATAGATAATATCTCCATTTTGCAGATGAGAAAACTGAGGCCAAGAGAGGCACAAATGTGCTCAAGTGGTAGAGGAGGCATTAAAATCCACATATCCCTGGAGAGCACTTCCATTTTAATTATTTATTTTTTTGAGATGTAGCAGCACTCTGTCACCCAGGCTGGAGTGCAGTGGAACTGTGTCAGCTCACTGAAACCTCTGTCTCCTGGGTTCAAGCAGTTTTCCTGCCTCAGTCTCCTGAGTAGCTGGGATTACAGGTGCCCACCACCACGCCCAGCTAATATTTATTTATTTATTTATTGACAGAGTCTCACTCTGTTGCCCAGGCTGGAGTGCAATGGCACGATCTCAGCTCACTGCAACCTCCCCTCCCAGGTTCAAGCAATTCTCCTGGCTTAGCCTCCCAAGTAGCTGGGACTACAGGCGCACGCTACCATGCCTGGTTAATTTTTTGTATTTTGAGTAGAGAGGATTTCACCCTCTTGGCCAGGCTGGTCTTGAACTCCTGACCTCAGGTGATCTACCTGCCTTGGCCTCCCAAAGTGCTGGGATTAAAGTCCAGATACATAAAAAGTGAGCCCCCGGCCCTTTTTTATTTTTATGCACACACGACTAGGGTGACATCTATACAAAAACAATCTGGATCACCCAGAAAGCATATGGCATCCCAGGTGAGCTGCTTATGTGAGGTAACTGGCCAAGGGCTCCAGTCACCTACTCTAACATCCCACCCAAAGGCCCTGAGGACTGGGGGGTCAGTATGTAACATCAGTTTGAGAAGCTGTAGGGTGGAAACTTTCTGGCAAGTGAGTATTATTTGTTCTGGTTATATGTCAAATTAGAAAAAGAGGCTGAGAACCACTGTTCTAGGTAAGCATGAAAAATGGAAATGGAACCTGGCAATCATGAACACTGTATGAATGGAGGATTACGGATACATCTGAATTGTATAAAGAAGGGGGAGAGATGAGTTTGTCATATTTGCTGAAAATGACCAGAGGATGGCTAAAGAATATAACAAGCCAGCTGCCGGGCACAGAGGCTCATGCCTATAATCCTAACACTTTGGGAGGCTGAGGTGGGTGGATCCCTTGAAGTCAGGAGTTTGAGACCAGCCTGGCCAAGGTGGTGAAACCCTATCTCTACTAAAAATACAAAAATTACCGGTTGTGGTGGCACGCACCTGTAATCCCAGCTACTCAGGAGGCTGAGGTAAGAAATCCCTTGAACCCAGGAGGCAGAGGTTGCAGTGAGCCAAGATTGTGCCATTGGACTCCATCCTATGCAACAAGAGTGAAAATCTGTCTCAAAAACAAAAACAAAAAAACCCCAAAACTACTATATCAGAACCTAAAGCGGATCCATTCAAAATAGTCATGTTAGAAGGCAACAAATGAATTTGGATTCTATAGTCATTGTTACGAGCAGGTTAAAATCCTTTAGGGGTCAGGTATGGTACTCGTGCCTGTAATCTCAACATCTTGAGAGGCCAAGGTGGGAGGATCACTTGAGGCCAAGAGTTTGAGACCAGCCTGGCCAATATAGTGAGACCCTCTCTACAAAAAGTTTTCTGAATATTAGCCAGCTGGGCCAGGTGCGGTGGCTCACGCCTGTAATCCCAACACTTTGGGAGGCCTAGGCAGGCAGATCGCAAGGTCAGGAGATGGAGACAGCCTGGCCAACGTGGTGAAACCCTGTCACTACTAAAAAATACAAAAAATTAGCTGGGCGTGGTGGCAGGTACCTGTAATCCCAGCTACTCAGGAGGCTGAGGCAGGTGAACCCAGGAGGCGGAGGTTGCAGTGAGCCGAGATCGTGCCACTGCACTACAGCCTGGCAGCAGAGTGAGACTCTATCTCAAAAAAAAAAAAAAAAAAAAAAAAAAATTAGCCAGCCAACCAGGCACAGTGGCTGACACCTGTAATCCCAGCACTTTGGGAGGCTGAGGCAGGCAGATCACCCAAGGTCAGGAGTTAGAGACCAGCCTGGCCAACATGGTGAAACCCCGTCTCTACTAAAAAATACAAAAGAGTAACCAGGCATGGTATTGGGTGCCTATAATCTCAGCTACTCAGGAGGATAAGGCAGGAGAATCGTTTGAACTCAGGAGGTGGAGGCTGCTGTGAGCCAAGATCATACCATTGCACTGAGCAATAAGAGGAAAACTTCATCTAAAAAAAAAATTAGCCACCCATGGTGGCACATGCCTGTATAGCTACTTGGGAGGCTGAGGGGAGAGGACTGCTTGAGCCCAGGAGGTCAAGGCTGCTTTGAGCCATGATCAAGCACCACTGTACTCCAGTCTGGGAGACAGAGCAAGACCCTGTCTCTAAAAATAAAAATGCTTGAAGGAAATCCTTTCTGAGTTTGATTTTCAGTTCATTTGATTCAGCCAACATACATGTTGTGTACAAAGCTTATACTGGATTAAGGGAACACAGACAAGAAAAAACACCAATGAAGCCTGTTACCATCACATACTAAACAGTAGCACAGCTTGTCACTTCTGTGGAAATTTAAAGACAACAGTTCACAAGAAATAAGGAAGGAGAAGCCAAAAACAACCACTGACAACTAATCACATTGGCTACCTCCCACTTGACAAAGAATAACACAGGGGAAAACATGAACACAGTGGCCCACGAGCACAAATTACGCAGTTGAGTCTCCCACATTTGGGAAAACCACAGGGGCTAGCACAAACAGTGTAATTAGTGAACCTCGCCCTGTGAAACTACCTTTGTGCTCAGGGTATCTTTCCTGCCAGGTAAGTGAAAGATGTGGTTGTTGCCTGACATCTCACTCTCAGATTCAAAACACTATTCACATAGGGTCACTCTCCTTGCACAAGTTCTAGCCTACCACTTAAAAGATACTTTTCCAAAGTTTAAGAGCCAGAAATGGCTGGGCATGGTGACTCATGCTTGTAATCCCAGCATTTTGGGAGGCTAAAGCAGAAGGATCATAAGGTCAGGAGTTTGAGACCAGCCTGGCCAACACAATGAAACCCCTTTTCTACTAAAAATATAAAAATTAGCCAGGTGTGGTGGTATGCAACTGTAGTCCCAGCTACTCAGGAGGCTGAGGCAGGAGAATCACTTGAATGTGGGAGGAAGAGGTTGCAGTGAGCTGAGATCACTGGACGACAGAGTAAAACTCTGTCTCAAAAAACAAACAAACAAACAAAAAAACCTAGAAACAACACTATGGACCCAGAATATTTACAATATCCTAAGAAATATATGGACAATATGAATGAGACCAGAAGACACTGTGCTTATCTACATACTCCAAGCCTCTTTTGGTGACGTAAAAAGCTCCCAATGAGCCGAGTTTGGTGGCTCACACCTGCAATCCCAGCACTTTGGGAGGCCAAGGTGGCAGATCACTTGAGATCAGGAGTTTGAGACCAGCCTAACCAACTTGTTAAACCCCATCGCTACTAAAAATACAAAAATTAGCCTAGGATGGTGGCGCACATCTGTAATCCCAGCTGCTCAGGAGGCCAAGGCAGGAGAATCACTTCAGCCCAGGAGGTGGAGGTTGCAGTGAGCCAAGATCGAGCCACTGCACTCCAGCCTGGGCAACAAGAGGGAAACTCCATCTCAAAAAAAAAAAAAAAAAAAAAAAAGCTCCTGACAAATCTGAGTCTTTTGTAGTGGTGGTGGTAGAATAAGGCAGAATAATGGCCCACCAAAAATGTCCTCATCTTAATTCCTGGAACCTGTAACACTTTCCATTATAAAAGGAAGTTTTCAGATGTGATTGATTTAAGATGAAGAGCTTATCCAGGTGAACCTTATGTAATCACAGGATCCTTAAAAGAAGGACACTGGAGCTGGGCGTGGTGGCTCACACCTGTAATCCCAGCACTTTTGGAGGCTGTGGTGGGTGAATCACCCAGGGTGAGGAATGCGAGACCACTCTAGCCAACGTGGTGAAACCCCATCTCTACTAAAAATACAAAAATTAGCCAGGCGTGGCAGTGCGTGTCTATAATCCCTCGGAAGGAGAATCCCTTGAACCTGTGAGGCTGAGGCTGCAGTGAGCCAACAGCGCCACTGCACTCCAGCGTGGGCTACAAGAGCAAAACTCCATCTCCAAAAAAAGAAAAAAAAAAAAAAGAGAGGACTCTGGAGGTCCACAAAGATACAAAGACAGAAGAAAAGTCAGAAAATGCTAAATTGCTAGCTTGGAAAATGAAAGGGCTACCCAGCAAGGAAAGTGTGAGAGTAGCATTCCTTGAGAGCCTCCTGAGAAATTTAACTGAAGACTTCTGATTGTAACAGCAAATCATTGTAGTACCCAATTATAGCACCAAGTGGGGTGGGAGCAGAAACATGTTCAAAGCGGAAAATGACTGTTCGGAAACATGAACCACTAGATACTCCAAAACAGGACATCGTGGCAGAAGACATGTCTTTTCTTGCTCTGTCACCCAGGCCAGAGTTCACAATACCCACCCACTTGTTGTATCTCTAGTAGTGACAGACTGAGGTTTCATACTGCTGACTTCCTAAGAATACCAATATTACAAGCACAAACCTACATAATCAACCACAAAACTCTACATAACAAATTCAGATCCAGAGAGAGAGCAAACACAATCCTACCTCTGACACAAATTACTCACCCACATTCCTCATACTTAAAAGTACCACTAACAAACTCCATCCAAGAAAACCCACTTTCTAAACTTTTGGTAACGCCCACATTAAGTAAGTCTGAGAAATGGAAGATGCCTGAGAATTCACCCTTAGATTCAAACCACTCTAAAGATAGGGTCATTTTTCTGATGTGACCAGTAGAACCCGTAATTTCTGGAATAAACATTTTTTTCCAAACTACAATAATCCAGTGCGAAATTTTTAACATCTGGCTATTCAAAATCTTAGAAAATATAAGCCTAAGGTATGAATAACCAGCAGTCACTGCGCTTATCTACATATTCCACACCCCTTCTGGTGATACCATTCAGCATGTCCTTTCCCAGTATGCTTGTTGACACAACTGAAATAAAACTTAAAGACGCCCTACGGATTAAAAGTTAAATAACATAAACCAGCTCCTGCCTTTCAGGGTTTTGCGCTAATGATGTCACTATGGTGTCTTTTTTCTTTTCGTCCCCCTGTCCCCCCTCCGACAAGATCCTGCTTTGTTGCCCAGGCTGGGGTGCCGCAGTTATCGAACTTCTGGCCTCAGGGGATCCCCCTGCTTCACCTTCCCCAGCAGCTGCGAAAGCAGGTGCACAGCGATTTCCTGAGCAGTTAAACAAGCTGCTGTACATGTTATCTGAATAAGTTTGAAAACATGAAATTTGGTAAAATTATTTTTGAAAATCCAGTCTACACATCTGAAAATCCAATCTCCGTCTGTATAGGTTAATCAGTCAAAAGTGTCAAGCTTATATACAAAATGCTCTTTCAAATATGCAGCAATGATCACTCTTACTTGAAAGAACAATTGCACAACACTAATTTTAATTTTGAATGAAGCAGGCGGACATTGTGGCTCCTACCTATAATCCTAGCACTTTGGGAGGCCAAGGCGGGCAGATCACTTGAGAACAGGAATTCGACACCAGTCTGGCCAACATGGTGAAACCCATCTCCAATAAAAATACATAAATTAGCCGGGCGTGGTGGCGGGTACCTGTAATCCTAGCTACTAGGGAGACTGAGGCAGGAGAATCTCTTGAACCTAGGAGGTGGAGGTTGCAGTGAACCGAGATTACGCCACTGCACTCTAGCCTGGACGACAGAGCGAGACTCCGCCTCAAAAAACCTCCCCACAAACCAAAAAAAACAAATTAGAATTGGAGTTACAGAGTTTAACAGTGTTCTTCAATTGTCTTTCCAAGATCACACTAGAACTATCCTAATTTCCCATATCTTTTATCTTACAGAAGGACTCTTCTGGTACCTTCTCCTCTGCCAAAATATATTAGCCAGAGTTTTATAACTTTTTTTTTCCTTGTTACTGACTTCAAGCTCACAGTTTTCTATCTTTACAACAGGAAGAAATAATGCTGTTATAAAAACAGCTGTTTTAAAATCTTGGACTGGGCATGGTGGCTTACACCTACAATCCCAGCACTTTGGGAGGTTAAGGCGGGCGGATCACCTGAGGTCAGGAGTTTGAGGTCAGCCTAGCCAACATGGCAAAAACCCATCTCTACTAAAAATACAAAACATTAGCCGGGCACGGTGGTAGGCACCTGTAATCCCAGCTACTGGAGAGGCTGAGACAGGAGAATCACTGGAGGTGGAGGCTGTAGTGAGCTGAGATGATGCCACTGCACTCCAGCCTGGGCAAAAAGAGCAAAACTCTGTCTCAAAAAAATAATAATTAAATAAAAATAAAAATCTTGTTAAGCAACAACCGAGAACATAGAGGTGTCTTAGATGAGGTGAAAAGAATATTGGGACAAGGAGGTAGGAGATTCTGTGATGCAAGCAGACAACTTGTTCTCAAGTCTGATGCTTTGACAGTCTATCAGTTTGATTTTTATATACTTGCCTTTTCAAAGAAGTTTATGTAATATACATGTACACACATATGTATATGTATGATCTGTGAATTACCAATATTTTGTTTTGTGAAATAAAACATTCTTTGAAATCTGGTTGGAGGGCTGGACGCAGTGGCTCATACCTATAATCTCAGTATTTTGGGAGGCTGAGGCAGGTGGATCATTTGAGGCCAGGTGTTTGAGACCACCCTAGCAAACATGGTGAAACCCTCTCTCTACTAAAAAATACAAAAATATGTGGTGGCACATGCCTGTAATCTCAGCTACTTGGGAGGCTGTGGCACAAGAATCGCTTGAGCCCTGGAAGCAGGGGTTACAGTGAGCTGAGATCATATGATTGCACTCCAGCTTGGGTGACAGCAGGAAACTGTCTCAAAAAAAAAAAAAAAGAAAAAAGAAATGTGGTGGAACAACTCACAACTCAAGTAAGGGAGAAGGTAATGTATGTGAACTATCCTGCTATTACCACCAAACAATACTTAGAACAAAAATGTCCGTTTCAGAAGATATGTGACTAGCAGTGCCTTCCTCAGGCTAGAGGATAGTGGCACCATCACAACTCACTGCAGCCTTGGCCTCCCAGGGTCAAGCATTCCTCCCACCTGAACCTCCTGTATATCTGGGATTATAGGCACACACCACCATGTCTGGCTAATTTTTGTATTTTCTGTAGAGTGAGTTTCACCATGTTGCCCAGGCTGGGCTCAAACTTCTGGGCTCAAGCAATCGGCCCATCTTCACCTCCCAAAAAGTTAGGATTGCAAGCCTGGAGCCACCATGTCAGCCCACAGAGCCTTTTTTTTTTTTTTTTTTTTTTTTTGAGACAGAGTCTCGATCTGTCATCCAGGCTGGAGTACAGTGGCATGATCTCAGCTCACTACAACCTCTGCCTCACAGGTTCAAGGGATTCTCCTGCTTCAGCCTCCCAAGTAGCTGGGAATACAGGCACATCACCACGCATGGCTAATTTTTGTATTTTCAGTAGAGACGGGTTTTCGCCATGTTGGCCTGGTTAGTCTCCAACTCCTGACCTCACATGATCCACCCACCTCAGCCTCCCAAAGTGCTAGAATTACAGGCGTGAGCCCCCACACCTGGCAGCTCAGCCTGCAGAATCTTAAGTGGCTCATAAATCTTCACAAGTCCCAGTTTCAATATTACACCAGAATTTTGTTATTATTGGCCTAGTTATCAAAATATTTGTTCAAGGGAGTCAGCCTTAGGCAAAAAAATGTCTGTCCTC